GGTGTCTGCATGACAACCCTGAGGCTGCAACCCTAAACCCTAAACCCTAAACCCTAAGCCCTAAACCCTAAGCCAGTCTGCAGGAGATCTGCTTCAATGCATCGCAGCTTGTCGCAAAGCCGGAAAATCTTTCGGCGGAGGAACTTCCGGGGGCACGGACAATGTCGCAGTTCAGGTTCCGTTTATAGCTTTTGGTTTAAAGGGTTTAGGGGGTTTAGGGTTTAGGGTTTAGGGGCTTTTGGTTTAAAGGGTCTTCAGGATAGAATTCGACGGCTTTGGGCTGTTTGAGCAACAGGTATGGATCATCTTCTCCCTAAACCCCCCAGGTACCTACTATATTACCATATAGGGTACTAGAGCCCCTAGGGCCCTTTACAGTAGGTACCTGTGGGGTTTAGGGTTCTGGGGTTGTCCTACAGAATAAACATTGGCCTTCAAGTAGTCCCTCTCTTGGTACTTTGGGGCCAAAGTATATACTATTTGGGTACATGAACCCTTAGGGGTATGGATTATCTTCTGGGGTTGTCCTACAGAATTTATTCCCCCATGTCGACTTCGGACGCAGGCTTCCTGTAGCAGCAAAAGCCCCAAACCCCAAGCCCCTGAGCCTTAAAGCCTGAACCCCTAAACCCTAAACCCTAAACCCCTAAACCCCTAAGCCCTAAACCCCAATCTGAAGTCATAAAGCCCCAAACCGTACGCCGCCCCTAGATCCCCAATGCCCCATAAAGCCTAAAGCTATAGTCTCCATTGTAGTTCCTTGTTGGGGATACCTTGTAAAATCCTTAATCTATAATTATTGGTTAAAGTTAAACCCAAAAAAGGAACTACAATGGAGACTCTAAAATTTTATTGTACAGCCCTATAGAAAACCCGAACCCCCCTAAATGAATCCCGAAGTCCTTTTCCCTATAAGCCCTAAAACCTCCTGAAACCCTGTTGCCCGAAAGGCCCTCAAGCCCCAAACCCCAACGGCCCACGTTTCTTTCCCTCAAAACCCGCCCTGAACCCCATAAGCCTCATAAAGCACTTAACTCCCATCCTTTGCACATGCCGGGGATAAGAGAGGTCGCAGGAAGGTCTCATCCATGTCGATGACATGTGTGGCATTGGTGGTGAGACGCTTGTGCATGAGCTTCAAGGTTGAGTCAAAACGCAGTGCACAGTTTCGTTTTTGTGGCAGGTCGGGGATGAGGTCTCTTTCTTGAAGCGGCGTGATTATTGGGCGACTGAACTTCGGAATCTTCCCAAATGCCGAACACATCGATGTGGTAGGTGCACTTCTTGGTGTTGTGATCCAGATGCCCAAGCCGTTGCAACATCCTGCGGAAGGGACACTGCTGCTACAGACGCAAGCAAGCCCACTCGATCGCGACCGATCAGCACACTGTTGTATGTGGCATGAGACCGTGAGACCTGCCTTGTGCAAAGTTGGCCATCAAAGATTCTGCCAAGTCTTGGCACCTACACCCGAAAGCCCTTAGGCCCCAAAGCCCTAAAGTGCTAAACCCAAACGCCTAAAAGCCCGAAGCACGAAAGCCTTTAATTCGGAAGTTAAAGCAGTTCAAACCCATGAAGAAACCTTACACGTTCCAAATCCTATAAGACCTCAAACTCCCAAACACTAAAGCGCTTGAACCCACACCCCTAAAGCGTCAAACCCAAACCGCCCTGACCGTAAACACCCTACAGACTATAAAGCACGGATCCCAAAGGGTCCAAGTAGTAATATGGTAGCTACTGTGTAGGTACTTGGGCCCCAAAAGTATATGCTATACTATAACTTGGACCCTTTGGGGATGTTTATTAACCTCATGGCAAGGAGTGGGCCCAGGGCTTCCGCTCTTGCACCTACCCACCGTCAAGGCCCTGCTTCCTTCGCCGCGGTTTTCGGGGGGTTTAAGGGAAATAGGAGTGTCGGCTACTTACAGAAGTTTTAGAGGGGTTTTAGTGTTCAAGGGTTTCAAGGTTTGGGGTTGTGTGTCAAGGGTTTAGAGTTTTGGGTTTAGGGCTTGTTATTAAGATCCATATAAACGGGTCCGGGTTTAGGCAGCAGTGTTCAGCTTAACTGAATGTTTGGGGTTTCGGGGCGTTCCGGAAGCAGGTTTGAGGCATTCGATCGAATGCATAAGCAGATTTGAGGAACTACAGATCCTAAATCCTGTGGACCCCATGCCAGATATGATCCTTTTCACGAGGCGCTTGCTATCATGGCTTTGGTGTGTCTTTGATGGTTTCGTGTTTTGTCTTAGGCTGCCTGCCATGAAGTAGTGGAGAGATCTGAAGATTTCCTTCATGGAGGAAGAGACAGAGACCGAAGTATGCAGACATAGATGCTTACAACATTACAAACTTCAAGCCCGGTTCCACAACTCCACACCTGCACTGACCAAGTTTTGCAGGCTGCATTTCAGCCTTTCCGTGATGAGCCTTCCCACGAAGGTCCTGCATCCTCTTTCGTGTTCTCGGGATTGGGGTTGGGAGTGCTTAAGGTTTATTAAGGGTTCGTCCATCTGCCCTCATAGTATCTAATACATATATATATATATATACATGTATAAAGAGTTTGATAAGGGTACTACGCGCGTTCTGTATGGGTGGGAAAGGTTCTGGGCTTGGGGTATTCTTGTGGCAGTTTTTGTTGGCGTTAGAGTGCCTATTTAAGTACCCCGTTTGGTCTGAGTAAATGCTTTATGGGTACTTGGACTATAATTAATCCGAGCATCTAAATAGCAAGGGGGAGCCCCCCCCCCCTTCCCCGCCAGACTAACGATCGCGGGAACCACATTAATGGAATCTCTGTTGGCTCATCCCGGCTCAATGTATTGAGTCTCCAGCCGGGCCCGGCCCGAAGTCTTGCCAGTAATGTGGTCCCATTTATAAAGGCCCCGTAAGGGGTAGCTTAGGAAAGCATGAAAGATAGCTTAACTTATCGGCCTTTAATAAGAACGCCTAGCTTTTTGAAGGGCTTCAGCTTGTGAAAAAAGCTTGGCTTCGGAAGGCAGCGTCTGACTCTGCCGAAAGTCAAGGCCTGCTGTGGAAAGCAGCCTTTCCTCTTTTTATCAAAGCAGCAAGCAGAGTTTTGAAGCTCCCCGAAATAATGTTCCTTAAATGTGGTCCCTTTTCACCATACGAAATCCTACCGCAGTTGGAAGTAGTCTTCCAGGCCCACTCCGGGCCGATATATTTTTTCCTTAAATCTGATACCTTTGTTAATTCCCATCCTCATATTAGGGGTGCAGGGTAATAGGAATACCAGAACGTTCCAACTAAGCTTTCTGGCATAGGATTTGAAGAAGATATGAATCAAACGCACAGCATGTAGCACACAATGACGCATAGTGAAATCAATACCATACTAGAAAGCAAAAACTATACAGATGTATATATATATATATATATAGGGCTTTAGGGGTTTAGGGGTTNNGGTTTAGGGTTTAGGTTTAGGGTATCTTTTCTGCAGGTGTTGAGTAGAAATCGTCGAGCAGAATTCCCGGGGAGCCTGCGAAGAAGTCGGCGATGGTAGGGGTCTCCAGTCACAAAGCCCTACATCACCATCTAGCTTTTCCGGTTAGCGGTCACATGGGTCTCCTTTGTGTACGAGGGTTTGAAATTCACTGAAGCGAATGGCTTCTTAGGGTAGGGAAAAGGGGCTGGCACATGCTTTCATGTTGAGCCCAAAGCCCCGACATGTGGAATCCCCCTAAACCCTAAACCCT